TTGCGCATGCGCCGGTGAGTCTCGTGAAAACCAACGTTTGTTTACAGGATCAAAAGAAGCAAAGTTTCCTCTTGGCTTATATAGAAATCCTCCGACATTCTTAAATCCTCGTTTTGTACTTCTAATTAGTGACCGTTTTTTTTGTTTTGATCTCTCCGCTGCGTTTCAGCGTGCGTCACTTCTGAGCGGCGCATGCGCAGCACTGAACTCATACATCATCTGCCCGGAGCTGCTTCCGTGTAGGACTGTTGGTGCAAGCTACATTAAAGTGATTATTGCGTTTTGAATATGGATATTTTTCTTACAAAAACGCATCGATTCGCTACAGAAGGCCTTTGTTCACCCCCCGGAGCCGTGGGAGACACTTTTTTTTTATGGATGGGCGCTTTTTATTTAACTTATTTTGGACTGATGCATGCAACACCCGCTGAGTGCCATGAAACAGCTTGAAAGATCAAAGACAATTTTTATATAACTACGACTGGATTCGTCTGAAAGAAGAAAGTTATATACACCTAGGATGACTTGAGGGTGAGTAATTTATGGGCTAATTTTCATTTTTGGGTGAACTAATCCTTAAATGTTTGAATATTTTGTTTAGATGAAGTGGCTGTCATTGATGAGATTCAAATGATCAAAGATCCTGCCAGAGGATGGGCTTGGACGAGAGCTCTTCTTGGTGGGTTGGCTTTGGGAAGTCAAATTTGGTTTCATATAAATATGTTGAATGAGGTATGTTAAAGATGCATGCGGCTGCAAATGTGAATTTCCTCTTTCTGAATAGGTTTGTGTGCTGAGGAGATCCATGTGTGTGGAGAAGCTGCAGCAGTTGACTTTGTCACTGAACTCATGTACACCACTGGTGAAGAGGTTGAGGTGAATCTCAGCAGTTCTTAATAAAAAATGGTTGATTATTGCAAAGTGACTGAACATTAATATTTATTTTGCCTTTGCCTTTTTTTTTTATGTTGATGCTTACTATTTGTTCATTTGTTTTGATTATCAAATATTTTGGTTTTTGCCTAATGATGTGAGACACTGAGGCCATTAGTGTGCTTTGACATAAATGCGTTTTTATCTTTAAGGTACATAATTATAAGAGGCTGACCCCTTTTTCAGTCTCGAACCATGCAGTGGAATCATTAGATAACCTGAAGCCTGGTGACTGTATCGTGTGCTTCAGCAAAAATGACATCTACTCAATCAGCCGACAGATAGAAGTCCGTGGCCTGGAGTGTGCCGTTATTTATGGCAGCCTGCCCCCTGGTAAGAGTCCTTGAGTCAGTTTGTTCAGATGTG